CGGCCCTGTCCCCGCTGCCGCCGAGGGGACCTTTCGCTCGGTGACAGGCGACGGGCGGCCTCGCTCCCCCAGTCTTGTCCCCCCTGCAGCTGTCCCCCCTTCCTGTGCCCCGCGGAGCGCCTGGGGGGACTCCAGGCTCCCAGGATTGCTCCCCATGCAGTGCCTTGCTAGGACACAGGGGACCCCTTGATACTCCCCGGCCCTCTGTGCCCAGGGCGCCGGCTGCCGGAGTGAAGGAAGAGGCGACCTTTCCTCCGCAGCCCCGCCCGGCATCTATCCAGACCCTGGCCAGCGGGCCTTTCTGCAGCTCCCTGGTCCTTGGCCACCCATGTCCTTCTGCAGCTTCCAGCTCCCTCGTTCCCAGTCCTCCAGGGACTCCCAGCGCGAAGAACCCGCTCCCTCCAGGAGGCGGGGACATCCTGGGCCCTGGCTCAGAGCCACGGTAGGGAGCCTATGCACATGCGCGCGCCCGTGCGTGCGTACGTACATCCGTGTGTGCGTGCGTCCGTGCGTGCGGGCAGGCGGGAGTCCGGGACACCACTGCTCCGAGGTGTCCGCCATGTTTGCTCATTTTCTCAGTTTGCGTCTCAGTCAGGTGAATTGCTGTGACATTCCAAGCTCCAATAAAGACTTTGACCTGTGACTGTTCATTGAAAAAGACGTACTCAGGCTCCATGCAGGGACCAAATCCATCGCCGCGACTTGAATGGTGTCTCTGACAGATATGTCCCCAGTCTCTCGGAAGGTGGCCTTATTCGGAAACAGCCTTTGCGGACACAATGAAGTTAAACAGGCCGAATGGGATTAGGGTGGACCCTCATGCAGCGAGAAATGCCCTTGTAAGAAGAGGGAAAGTTGGGTGCAGAGAGAAGAGCAGGAAGGGAGAGCCGGGCGTAGTGGCACAGTCCTGTGATCTCAGCACTCGCGAGGCTGAGGCAGGAGGATCTCTGCAGGTTCAGAGCCAGCTTAGGCTACATAGTGAGTTCAAGACTAGCCTGAAACCTCTCCCGAACAAAGGAAAAAGAGGACCAGACACAGGAGTGGGCCTCGTGGACAGGTGGCAGAGACTGGCGTGAGGCATATAGAAAGGGTCCCAGGACTGCCAGCGCCTTGCTCTCACCTGCAGCTCAGCTGTGGGGTTTTAGGTCCCCCGTGGTGGCATTTCGTCATGGCAGCCCTGGGCTGGCGCAGCCTCCCCCCCACCCGAGCTAAAGCCCCAGGTCCTCGGCCACGCCTAGAGCTGGGCCTCCTCATCCCTTCCCAGCAGTGTTCCTGCCCAGCTCTTCTCTCCACAGCGCCTGGCTGCGGCCGAACCTCACCTGCCTGTATCCCTACTGTCACCATCCCTCCCACCCTAGTCCTGGCTCTCCTATTCCCTCACCCTCCGGTTTGGACCCTGATTGCTCACTGGGCTTCTTAGGTGTCTTAAAAATGCCCTTAGAACAGGCTGATTTTTTTTTTTTTTTGAGACTGGGTCTCACTGTGTAGCTGAGACTGACTTGGAACTCACTATGTAGCCCAGGCTGAATGATTCTCCTGCCTCAGCCTCCTGAGGGTTTGGATTACAGGTGTTTGCCACCACACCGGGCAAGAACCTTTTGAAACTGGTGTCCACAATCATCCCCCATGCCTGCCCTGCAGATCACCCGAACAGCCAGCCTGCATTCAACTTGTACGTATTTTAATAACTGGATTGAGAGAGACTAGATCGCAACATCATTTCCCTTGTCCCGACAGCCCGTCACCCTGGGACTGGGGGAAACCCTGAGGCCTGGCCTTGGCTGGAGGACATGGGGGCCTGGAGGGAACTGGAACAGTGCGGGCCTAGTGACCCCAGCTCCTGGTCAGCGTACACACCAGTGTGTCGAGCTGGGGTCCTCCTCCCCTGAGTGGGCAAAGGACGGAGCCTGCAAGCAGCGGAGGTGCTGGGGTCCGGGGAAGGGGCAGAGGGAGAAGAGGCACAGTGTTACCTCATCTGTCCCGGAGCTTCCAGCCCCAGGCGGCTCCACCCACAGGTAATTCTTAAAAATTTAATTATCAAGTAGCTGATGGATACGTTCAATTGCAAGAGGCCAAAAAAGTTGAAAGTACTTCAGATAATCTGTATGGGTCTGTGTGTTTTGTTTGTTTATGAGACAGAATCTCACTATGTAGCCCCGGCTGGCCTTGAACTCGCACTGATCCTCCTGCCTCAGCCTCCCAAATGTCGGGATGACAGGCGTGCCTCAGCGTGCCCGGCTCTGGCTGGGTCTTGCTCCCATAGTGACCTGTTCTGGGTACAGATGCTGAGCCAGGTCTCCCAAAAGCTGAGAGCACCAGAGGAGATTCAGAGAGCTGTCAAGATCCTTGAGGTGCCTGGACACGGAGGCCGCAGGGGCTGGGAGATCTTGGCCTCAGATTCGGGAGTTCCAGGGTGTCTTCCTAATGGAGGGTGTTACTGGGAGAAAGTCACTGGGTTCCTGAAAGATGCATCCCAGTACTGACAGAGGCAGGTGCTCCCACACGGAAAAGTCCAAGCCATGGGCGCTGTGCCCCGCGGGGCCGGAACCCTGGACAGGCCGGCCTTGTGAGTTCCTAGTGTGAGGGACCCCTCAAAATGAGGGCTCTGGCAGGGCGTGGTGGTGCACCCCTGTAATCCCAGCACTTGGGAGGCAGAGGCAGGAGGATCTCTGCATGTTCGAAGCCAGTCTGAACTACATAGCGAGACCCTGTCTCAAAAACCAAAAACATGAAGGATCTGACCCCAGGGCGGAAGGTGGGAGGGGATTTGGGGAGGATGTGGAGGCAGAAGAGATTGAAAGGGTTAGGGCAGCGCGGGGAGAACAGGGTGCCGGCCAGAGTCCATTCACGGTTGCCTCACGGCGCTGCGATTCTCCGAGCATCCTCAAGAGGGCGCGCGGGCCCTAGAAAGGGCCCATTCCGTGGTCTGAGCGCCCCTGGCAGGTGCATCCGCGTGGGGCCTCAAGCACGTGACAGATGGCAGTGCACTCAGCTTTACAGCCCCGATTCCGGCCAATTTCCAGCCACCCACCGCGGTCCCGTCGAGATGCAGCGCTCCTGAGCCAGGACGCCCCACTTGGGGAGAGGGGGGCCCCAGACCACTCCCGGACGCTGCGGGAGGGCGGTCGGTGGGGTCTCGGGGAAAAGTCGGAGGAGGGCTTTTCCCTCTCCTGCCTCTGCAGCCGCAGTGCCTCTGGATTCGGTCTCTGCCCGCCCCTGGCCACGGGGCCTCCCGACCGCTGCAGGTGTCACTTCCCGAGGGTGGCCGCTTTCCCAGCGACGGCGACCGCAGGGTCAGGAAAGTGGGGTCAGCGGTGGCCTAGGGACCAGGTCTGCTCGGGCAGGAAGCGCTGGGGTGGACGGAGTCCAAATCTGGAGCTGGGCTGGGATGGAATTCAGTGGTCGAGGGCTCCTTAGCACAACCAAGGTTCTGGGTTTGACCCTCAGCACCAACAGGAAATCGACAGGGAATGATTTGTCAGTGCTGGAGGGTACAATTTTTTTTCTTTTTGGTGCTGGGGAACTGAACGCAGGACCTTGTGCTTGCGAGGCAGGTGTGGTGCCGCTGAGCTACATCCCCAGCCCCTACAACGTATTTTAAATGGTTAGTTGGATAACTTTTGAACGTTTATTAGTTAGGCACAGTGGTGCACACCTGTAATCCCAGCACTCGGGAGGCTGAGACAGGAGGGTCACAACAAGTTTGAGGCCAGCCTGGGCTACATAGTGAATTCAAGGCCAGCCTGGGCTACACAGGGAGATCCTGTCTCAAAAAAAAAAAAAAAAAACAAACCAGGGATGGGGATATAGCTCAGTGGTTCTGCCCCCTGCCTCAAAAGCACAAGGTCCTGAGTTCGATCCCCGGTACCAAACAAACAAAAAACCCAAACCAACCAAACCCATGTACCACATAGTACAGATGGGCTATGTGTTTATACTCCTGCCCGGGGCCCTCCAAATGTTACAAGTGGCCAGGAAAAAATTCCCTGTGTGTCGGAGGGGTGTCTGTATGGGTGGAGGGGACAGAAATGAGGACATGAAAAAAGGTACCCACTGGGCCACTTCCAGTTTAGCTCATGTGATATCACCAAGGACCCTGGAGAGCAGCCAAGAAGGTGAGCAGGTGGGAGGTGGAAGGGCGGGTCACAGCAGCCTCCTCCCTTCTGCGCCCCCACCTTTTGGTACCCGGGATCAAACTCAGGACCTTGCAGTTGTGAGGCAGGTGGCCAGGAGGTGGCACCACTGAGCTAAATCCCTGGTGTTTTATTTTTTGCTCTTTTTTTTTTTTTTTTTTTTTTTTTTTTTGGGTACTGGGGATCGAACGTGGGTCCTTGCACTTTCAAGGCAGGTGGCAGTGAGCTAAATCCTCGGCCCATGTTTTATTTTTTGAGCCAGGGTCTCACTGTGTAGTTCAGGGTGGCCTCGAACTCATAGCCATGACCCTCCTGCCTCATCCTCCCGAGTGCTGGATTAGTAGGTGTGTGGCACCATACCTGGCTGCTTCTCCTTTTAGCGAAGCTGGGCAGTGGCAGCACAGCAGTGACAGCCTCTTTTTCCAAACCAGGGCCGGTGGCCACAGCCACCCGTGTAACACCAGGAATGCGGGCGGTGTAGACAGGGAGGAGCCCCTGGGCAAGGTGCCCGGAGACCTGAGTTCTGCCCCTGACTCTGGGGCTTACTCCCTTTTCCTCTTCCAGCCGCTCCTGCTGTGGCCACACAGACACCAGCCACTGCCTCAGTTTCCCGATAGGTTTGAGACAATAGGAGGGTATGCTTGGGGGCTTAGGTGGGGGCACAGGGGAACTGGTGCCCAGAGATACAGTGAGGGCAGGAGGCTGCAGGAGCTTCTCCCCAGAAGGCAGGTCCTGTGGCTGTCCTCTCCCTGTGCCTGTCAGGGCGGGTCCCCAACTGGGTGGAGCTGGGCTGTGGCCTTTGGGGACTGATAAGCCCCGAGGCAGAGCATTTTTGGGGGGGGACTGAGGGCCCAGCTCCTGGGGCCACGGGGTGGCTCCCGGGTGGAGAGGTCCTGGGATCGTGGGTGTGGCCTAGGGACTGCAGGGAACCTGGGACTGGTCCCTTCCAACGGTCCGCACCCAGTGATGCCAGTCCTGGCTCTGACCTGGCCCTGCCCTGCCCTCCAGATGTCCCCTGGGGGCCTCCACTGTCCCCACCTGGCTCAGGGAAGGGGTTTTCACACTGGCCTTGTATCCATGGGCCTCAGCCTGCACACCTGCAGTCCCAGCACTCTTGGAGGACCAGCCAGGGATCCGAGTTCAAGTCTGTCCTGGGCAAGTTAAACACCGTAGGCCGGGGATTTAGCTCAGTGGTGCCGCTTCCTGCCTCGCCTGCACAAGGTCCCAAGTTTGATCCCCAGTACCAAAAATAAAGCAATGTAGTGAGAACCTGTCTTGAAATAAAAAAATTTAAAACACAGGCTGGGGATGCAGATCAGTGTAAAGGCCCCAGTGCCACAGGCACAAAAAGAACTTCTGGAAGGCTTCTATTGATATTATAGGTCTACATTAAATTATAATTCAGGCAATAACTTTGCCCTAACAAAGCCGATTTTTTATTTTGAGACAGGGTCTCACTATGGAGTTGGGACTGACCTAGAACTCACTGTGTAGCCCAGGCTGGTCTCAAACTCACAGCGATCCTCCTGCCTCAACCTCCCAAGTGCTGGGATTACAGGTGTGCGCCACCACTCCCTAATAAAGCAAATTGCTTAGGCAACTGGGGACACTGTGCCATGGAGTCACCCCTGGGGTGCGAATCCTGCTTCTGAGAACAGACACTTCATAGTCACGCAATCAGAGATTGCTCTCCCCGGAATCTCAAGAGGAAATGAACAAATTAACAGGAAGAAAGACACTTGAGAAACTTGGGCTTGGGCTGGCAATTTAGCTTAATGGTACCACCACCTGCTTAAAAATTGCAAGGTCCTGAGTTCAACCCGGTACCAAAAAAACAAAAAGGGAAAGGAAGCTTGGGCTGAGGAACATTTTGCAGGTTTTGTGTGTGTGTGTGTGTGTGTGTGTGTGTGTGTGTGGTGTTTGTTTTGGTTTTTGTGTGTGTGTCTGTGACACTATCGATTCCTGAGGCCTCTGCACAGAGCTGCTTCCCAGCATTTTTTTACTTTTTGTTTTGAGATAGGGTCTTGCTAAGTCACTGAATTGCCCAGGCTGGGCTGGAACGTGTGATCTTCCTGCCTCAGCCTCCTGAGTGCAGGTGTGCCCCACCATACCCTGCTTACAAATAGGCTATCTGTGTACACTATCAATGAATGATCAAAATTTAAATTTAAAAGTACATTTACAGCCAGGCGTGGTGGCTCATGTCTGTAATCCCAGCCCTCCAAAGGCTGAGGCCGGAGGATCACTGTGAGTTTGAGGCCAGCCTGGGCCATATCGCGAGATCCTGTCTGAAAAAAAAAAAAAAAAAAAAA